GCCCTGCTTCGGGACAGACGCAGAAAGTAGCCCATTTCTTCAGCAGAAGGGGGCCTCATCGGCACATCCTTACCAAGACCTGCAAAATGAGAAAAATTAATAAATACAGAAATAAATCACGAATGGAAACTTTGAAAGGAAAAAATTACCATGGTTTGAGCCTCCCATCGGCCTCTCGACAACTCCATCCAGGCGCGCTCGGAGTAGACTTTTTGAGACACCAACCCCTCGACCCATTGCCTCAAGTCGGGGATCACTTCCGGCACAATAGCCTTGGCTGCAACATAAAAAAAATTAAATGAGGGGAAGAGAAGAAAGCAGGAATGGCAAAAATAAGTACTCGGAAGGCCAAGCAAACACTTACGTTCCATGTTCCACCTCTCGGGGAACGACATATCTCCGGCAGGGATCAGGTCCGAGGTCCTTATTCGCACGAACCTGCCCATCCAACCTCGGTCTCGAGTCTCGTCTGTACTTGAGAATGGGGGTTTGGTATCTCTACGATAAAGCTTGATCATGCCTCCTCGATAGAGCCGAGGGGCGTAGAGGCGCATGAGATGATCGAGGGTAAAAAGATGTCCCTCGATCTTACTTTCGAAGAATCGGAGAAGGAGAACGATCCTCCAAAATGATGGATGGATATGGCCCAGAGTGACGTCGTACCTTTTGCAGAAGGCAACGATGATAGGGTCCAAGGGACTTATTGTGAAGGGGTAGGTGTAGACGGTCAAATACCCCTCCTTGTAAGTAGTGATGGATTCTTCAGCGCTAGGCACTACAACATCCTTGCCGACCCAGTTGCACTTGTCTTTTACCTTCTCGAGGAGGCGCTCAGTAATTGTACACATGTACCTCGACATGGGCTCACACCGCCCCGGTGTCGAGGGCGTGTTTTCCACCTTAAAATCGGAGGCAGTCGCACACTTCGTCGGAACGAAGTCAGTAAGAGGATATTCCGCCGTGCCGGCAGCACCGGCCGGTTTTGATGAAGAGGTGTTTTCTTTATGAGGGACAGTTTTGGAAGTCTTAGCCATTTTTCTAGAACGGGTAATAATCGGTAATGGGAGATTTGGAATATTAAGAAGAGATTAGACAATTTATAGAAGAAGAACTTGGGAGATGCAAAGAAATATTGGAGATTAGAGCGGAAGAGATTGAAGGTAAAAGTCGAAAAATGGAAAAAGGATTATGGGTTTCACGGCGACGGTTCAAGGTTGCTAATGGCCGACCACCAACTGACACTCATTAATGGTTTTGGGAACTGTACCCACACGATGCTTCAGTCGCTTCCATCGCCTACGTCACAAGGATGACGTCATGGTAATCAAAGACTCAATTCGTTTCTCCTCATTACAGTCCAAGAAACGAGGGGACTATCTATATACGGTTAAAATCGGGCTTGCACGATTTTGCTATTTAATCGAGACTAGAGGATCATAACGAGGGTCATCCTCGTAATGGATCGAGCTACAACACGAAGACGAGGTGTCGAGTCCAAGAATCAAAGTGTCCGTCGAGACCGAGGCCAACAGTAATCAAGACTACGTATGACTGACTTTGAGTGAAGTACAATAACGGAAAGGCGTGGTATCCGTAACCGGTCGAAGATCACGGCGGAATTCTCGGGACAGACCAAATGAAGGGCGGCTATTTGTATCAGTCATGGGATTTACTTCTGTAATTAGAATTGTACCTCAATTAGGATTCCTGTAGTATATAAAGAGGGATACCCATCATTTGTAGACACCTTACATTCATACAGATCAAGGCAATATAATATTTCTTTCTTCTCATCAGCTTACTGCTCTTTAATTATTATTCTTCAACTGTTGTTCTTTAACTGTTCTTGCTTTATTACTCTCGAGGGTTCATCGGCTCGAGGATACCGTCCAAGCGTCGGTTTGTTCTATATTCTTATCAATTTCGTCACTTATCTCTAAATTAACCAATTGGTATTAAGTGAAATCACGTATCCTTAAAACCACATTACAAGTTTAATTGTTACTCGATTTTTAGAGTAAACATACACTACTACTGCCTATGAAGATAAGCAGAAAATAAGGAAGGAAAAGAGTAAGAAGGCCGTAATCCTGAGCAAAATTATTTTATAAAGCTCCTTTCCCTTGCATACATGGTTTTCAAGTAACAAACTTGGAAAGCTCCTTCACGTTATAACAGTCTCAATTTTGTGCCTGTCATATTTGGAGTTCCAATTATTTTATAGAATTTGGAAGTCTGACGAAAAAACTGCAAGTTATGTATAAATTTATTCTATATGAAAATTAATTAGCTGTCCAGTTTCTTAGAAACTGCTGCCTACAAATTCAGTTTCTTATATGTGACGTATGTAAAGGATCCGAATGGAATGATTTTTGGTTCATGATTACATTCATCTTTTGGAGACAGTTCTACCATACATTAAGGATATATGGGAAAATTGTGTACACAGCTCAAGGCATTCAAAGTGCTCCAGCTGCTCTTATTGCTCTATTCTCTTGTTGGGAAGCAAATTGTGTTTGTCTCCCGCGATTAAAATTCTTGTTCTTTCTTCATTACGTATCATGATCTTTTCTTCTTGAGCATGTATCAGTGAAGCTATTTGGATTTATTTTTTTTCTACTAGTAACAATTCCCGTTGGTACTCCAAAATGCCATGAAATTTTAAATTTTCAGATTCTGATAATTCCGCGAAACGAAGCTTTGGCACGATAATTAAGAGTTGTTATCCTATGATGAATTCAAGACAAGACACATTGATGGAATATCCTTTTTGTTACAATCGAATCAGAAAAAGTCTTCCAAAAATTCTCTCTCTAAGCGTCTTCTTTCTCCATTGACGATCTTCTCCAAACAGCGGTTACGTTTGGCGGGGAAAGCGGTTGTCAATGGCGAGGGGCAAGGGTAATAGACCAGGAAGACCAAGGAAGACGCCAATTCTAGTTCTAGGAAGCTCACTTACATCGAATTCATCTCCATCAACACCAATAATCTCACAGAAATCACAAATGACGACAACGGTGGTAGCATCAGTGGTAGAAACGAATGGTAACATCTCTACTGTGAATAATTCTATGAATTCAGAAGTAGTTGAGGAAAATAGAATGAGTAAGGATGATAATGGCAAGAGTAAAATTCACAATGATTGTGTGCCTTCATCTTCGAATGTAACGATCATAGAAAAAGCTCAATCAATTGCACATGCAAATGAAAATTCACAGAAATTGGAAGCTGATAAGGATCCAGTAGCTCCGGTGTGGGCTAATTTGTTTGCTAGGAATCGGGTGGCATCTAATGGCCTTGCTCTATCTTACATTCCACCGACGATAGTGGATGGAAGTGTAGTTATTCAATTAGATCCAACGGAGACGGCGAAGGAAGCTGATAAGTGGAAACATTCTCTGATTGTTGCTGTTATTAGTGAAATACCCGGGTACAATCATATGAAGAGATTCATAAGTCAAAACTGGACTATCGCATGCTCTGAATAAGAGTTGTGCTGTTTGGAATTCAGTCTTATTGGTCGCAAATGTTTCTGATACCAGCCAAGGTGATCAAAACTATTGAAGCCTATTGCAGGAGCTTTATGTGGTCGGGGACTAATATAATAACCAAACGAGCTTTGATATCTTGGGAGAAGGTATGCAAACCAAAGAGTGCAGGACGTTTAAATATTCTAAACCTTAAGCAATGGAACAGAGCAGCCATTATCAGACTACAATGGGATCTAACATCAAAAGCTGACAGACTGTGGATCAAATGGGTACACATGTACCATATAAAGGGGCAGCCTATATCGAACATCAAAGAGGCTAAACAAGCAAGTTGGATGGTACAAAAGATTTTGACTATTAAAGGGCCAAGTCCACAGGTTCAAAGGCAAGGAAACAAAGGCAGTGTCATCAAGCAGATATATTTGCAGCAGCTGGGAACACTACAAAAGGTGGAATGGAAAGCAATTATGTTCAGAAACTTAGCTAGACCCAAAGCAGTATTCTCTATGTGGCTGATCATACAGGAAAGAATGCTGACTGCTGACAGACTAAGTAAATGGAGCATGACCGTGGATACTACATGTGTATTCTGCAATTGCCAGCCAGAGGATCATCACCATCTATTCTATAATTGTAATATCATCAGGGAGATATGGAATGACATATTCAAATGGATGCAAATACAAGTGCCAGTAAATACATGGAGACAATTAATATGCTGGTTTGTGGAAAAAGCAAAGAAGAAATCAACTGAAGGGCAGCTGCTGAGAATGATTCTAGCTGAAACATTGTATAGCATATGGGTGGAGAGAAATCATAGAGTTTTTGAGAAGATTCACAGGGATAGGCAAAGCATTGTTAGGGAAATTATCTACGTTTGTAACATTAGAGCTGTTGGTAAACTCAAAAAAGTATTACAATACAAGTTCATATAGGAGGAGGGAAGTAGTAGTACTATCATGCATGAAAGGTCAAAGAGGAGGGGAGGATAGAAGAGATGCATATAGCAGTGATTCACATACAGGCTGAATTAGCCTTATACATTGTAATTTGTTACTTTGAAAATTAATAATATTTGAATTACCAAAAAAAAAAAAGATGAATTCAAGACGTAAAAAATATTCTTTTTTTTTTCTTCTGATAAGTAAGCCGTAAAAAATATTCTTGCAGAAATCTAAATTAAGAGCGTAAACAAACCCAATAAGATTTGGCTCTTCTCGAGATTTTGAGCTTCGCGCATCTAACTACCCTTTTACTCTTGATACTACCATGTGGCACGTCATTAAACCATATAGGATCTGTTCCATCGGCTCATACCATATAGTATTGGCCAATCAAAATAGGGCATGAATAACAAGTTAACAACCATGACCGCTAGGTCGTGCAGCCATATGGGATCCTTCTCTGGCCTACTCCAAAGGCTTGAGAATCTTATGACAGTATAACAGACTCAACCTTTTACGTCGAATGGTGAAATTTCACCTAATATATAGGCTGATAATACAAGTATTAGTAGAAAGAGTAGCCGTATAAAATGTGTGCAGTTCAAACTTTAAAATATTACAGCCTGGGAGGATCTATGCCTTTTTCCATAAATAAAAGGAAAAAGAACAAGTGCACGTATCTAGATGTTTCATATCACTTTCAGATTTAAAAACCAAAAATGCTAGTCATATTTTACTTGTCATTCAGATGACGATGTCAATCATTTTCAGTGAAGCTTATTGAAGAACCATCTCAGCTAAAGACTAAAGGTGAAAAGAAAAGAGCTGAAAACTCATTGTATCTTCAAGACTAGGTCCGTCCTTGTTCAAAGAATGGTCTAAATGTACCCTATTCATTTTCATAAACTTGCAACTACCTAAAGCTAAAAGCCATGAAGCATGTACTGTTATGAAAGCAAACTTGACTTGAAAGCCGCAGCGTCACAGCCAGGCAGGAGACCATCTCCGTATCAAGCAACTTGATTCAGCCATCCATGTTCACACACATTCCGCAAAGAGCAGGCATTTTCCTTAGGTTCGGGGACTTTAGACTACAAAGGGTATGAATATCCTCGCAAGTACTTCGAATCCACACCTGATTCACGCACCAGCGCCAGACGTCCTGTTCGCGCCACCTGTTGGATGTATATCAGGACAGAAAGCTTAGCCTCAAAAAACACAACCAGAAGGAAATTGCAAATGAAAATTAGAGGTTTCATGTGGGGCTGATGAACATATATCTTCTGGGAAATATACAGAAACTTTGGTAGTACGATATGCACCTTTTTAGCCACTGTATGAACTTTGTCATTATTAGTCATTTGGTGGGCTAAATAAGGAAACACAATATCATCTGTTTCCCTATGGGTTGTGGATCTGAAAGTTACTTATCAGTATAGCATTAAACTCCATTTATTTTATTTCCCGTTTATGAGAGAATAGTTTTATCCTCTATATAGCCATATGGTGGCCAAATTATCACTCACATCCCTTTCTCCCCTTCTCATGTTTCCCACTTCAAATCTCCTCCTTTTGTCCCTTTCTGGTGTTTACTCAATGTCTAACGACCTTATTTTTGCTCAATTTAATGCAAAAATTTCATTCTTAATAGGTGGTGTTAAAAATCTCGTCAAGAAAAATTTACAGATTATATAATACATTTAGGTCAATGGCGCCTCTTCACAAAGGTTCAATTCTTATTGCCTTCACTTCATGAACTGAATCATAAGCTGGAATCCTTACGTTGATCCCAGTTCCCTTAAATCTCATGAACCAACCAAATGAGTGATGCACTGTAGTAAAAACCAGTCATTGCAGTGACCCTTTACATCACAATCCCTGTACTTACCAACTCATTTTGTGCAAGCTGCACTGCATAATATTGGATAATAATTTTGATATAGAAACAATATTATTGCAGTAACTGACCTCACAAATACCATAAGGCTCTAGTAGCCGCTGCAAAGCAACCATCTTATGCAAATCTCCTGTAAGCTGGAAAAAGCAAAGAAAGTAATAGTTCATTATAATGGCCAAGAGAAGCTTCATCCAACATTAGATAAAATTAAAGGTCCGCCTGGTTGGTTCATAAACTGCAATTGAAGTGCATAAAGAGCTCTCATCCAGGCTTTTTTCTTCTTCAGGACAAAGCTTAAGAGTGCTACTCTGTACAACATAAAGAACCAAGAAACTGATCCATCATCTTATAGTTGATCCACAATCACCCACAGTAGCTAGAGGGATCAAATTGGAAATGGTGAAATAAAAGCAATAGTTGGTTCATGTCAACTTTATTGAAGTGCAAAACCTTGTATAAGTGATCAAGCATCAGCCCTGAATGATGTATACATGTCCTGTTAAACTAACAAGGTGGGAATTGGAGGATGAAGCAGGCACATTTGAGAGACCAAAACGGAAGATCAGAAATTTAAAAAATACAATGTTTCTTGCATTAACCACTAGGCATACCATACACCCATTACCAAAGACAACCCGCTAAATCAAGTCCAGAGAGGACAAACTAAAAATACTAGTGTCAACGAATCTTTACCTCAAGAGTTATGGTGTGGTCAGACACATCAACAGCTTTTGCTCTGAAAATGCTGGCAATGTCAAGAACATTGCGGCGTGCTGCAGCATTCACAGCAATCTTTATCAACATTAGTTCTCTTTCCGCAAATGGGTGGTGAGTAATATCCCGAACCTGAAAGGATGCAATAAATCAAAACCGTTTATCACTTTCTGCTCGTTTGCATGCAAATTAACATCGCAATCTTAGATCGATAGGATATCGTAACAAGTTATTGCATGGACCTGGACACCAGTATTGGGTTAAGACAGTTATACGGATTACTTGGCTCTTGGCTTGGAAAACAATTATCTTTATTTGTTTGGTTTTGGTTTGGACAACAAATGTTTGGATCTGGTTATGGAATTTTTTTTTTTTTTTAGAAAAAAAAAAGATACATAGGATTAAGAATTTTTAAAAAGTCTAGAAAAAAATGCGCTTGCTCTTCTAAAAAAATTATAAGAATCAGCTATTGCATTTTGACTAGAGGAAGTAGGTCCAGATAAGAACCAAAAAATAGTTTTCTGTTGTCTGAGAAACTACTTCAAATCATATTTGTTTTAAAAATTATACAAATTGGTCCCTTGTTAGACATGAATAATTTCAAAATTAAGCGATATGGCATGATAAGGTGCATGCCACTGTATTTCTACATGCACCTTTTTGTTTAGCCCCAACCACACAAAAAGAAGTAGAAGGGGTAAAGGTCATTCAATTGATATATTCTGAAAATAATAGTCATTAAACATCACAACGCATAAAATCACTCAGAATACTAAAAGGAATAACATGCACATCAAATCTACAGCATACACATTAAGCTTTATAATATGAATGATTACATATACATCAACTGTTAAATAAATTCATGGGCAGTTCAATACTTGAGGAACAATTTCTGGAAGCCACACCAAAAAGAGGAAAAAGAAAAAGAAAACACTGCAGTGCTTAACCAGGTGAACATAATAATCTATAAAATTCATACTCAATTTGGAAAACTGTTTTCCAATATTAAACATATTCTGTCACAATTTTGTGGAAAAAAAATGACCAATAAAAAATCACCATTCTTACACCACCGCACTTCCCTGCCTCTCAGGAAATTCTATAGTGGACAGCAATTTTTAAATTGAAACAGTACAAAATCTTCCATCGGATTGGATGTTGTTGAGCAAGAGCTCATGATAGATGACTACTTACCTCATGAATATCAACCAACTTATATAGTTGCTGCACCAACTTGCTAACTGACTCATCTGTGCCAGGAACAACCGTTGTAATACGAGAAAGCCCGTCAACTTCAGCATGTCCAACAGCTAAACTCTGGAGAGGATAATTCAATACATTTAAGTACAAAAAAAAACCCTACAAATGAAAGACAAAAGGACGAGGAAACTTGGGTTCTGTTAAAAGAAGCTTAAATATTTGAACATACTTGGATGTTATACCCTCGTCGAGCAAAAACTCCGGTGACTATGTTGAGAACTCCAGGAGTGTCATTCACAAGCATCGACAAAGTATGTGAGCGAAGCCCACTTGTCTGGAAGAATTAAGCCAAGGGCTAACGTAAGCATCACTTGTAAGCAGTTTCCAATTTAATGAACTAATCGTCAAGACATGAAATTCAAGAATGAAAAGACTAGCAAAAGCTGTTCTCAATCTGGAACATCCTTAGAATTTGCAGCATATTATGGGCCATTTCCCCATGGAAATTATTCAAGCAAATATCAAGAAAAAGACAACTGCGACAAAATCTACATCAATAGAAAATGCAATCAGTGAGAAATTAAGGAGGCAAAGCTGTAGTTTTTTTTTTAAACAGTCAAATACAAGTTGTACAGATGACATTTCATATATGGTGCTTAAAATCTGATCAACTTATTTTATTTTAGCCCCGCTGGGGTAATATTAAAACTTCCCCAGATGCATTTCAGGCCATCCTAGTCTCAGTGGTGGCAAAGATGAAGAGATCAAATTATTCCTTCCTTTGGTTCTTTTATTATAGAGAGCAAAAGCAATAAGCCAGCCATATAAAATACAAGGAAAATGCAATATAACAAAAGGATTTTCAATAAAGCAGGCAAAATTTAGATCTCAGACCAGCCCTCATAAATTGCACAATTAAGTTCATATCTTTTACAGGCTATAGAGAAACAATCATGTGATTTATTTGCATCTAATGTCAGGCAAGATGGTCTAATTCGATCTACTCAGATGACAAATTCCCTGGAAATACTGAATAAAAGAGGATGTAACGTCAAAACCTTCAAAAATATGGAAAAAAAATCATCTAGAATGGAACAAAGGCACCTTTGAGTAACAGTTAACAATTTCTTACATCTTCATCATTGAGAACACCCCAGTGAGCATCAAGAACTTGACTGACTCCAGAGTTGTCATCTGTCTCAACAGGATAGACATCTCCCTTCATTTTGGCAAAAAGAAAGAAAGTGCATCCAAAGTCAGATATTAAGGCTATTTTTTCGGTTTTGGGGGGGGGGGGGGGGTAGGGGGGAAAGAGAATAGAGTTTTTCCATAGGGAAAAAGGTAAATCTCAAAACACATTGAAGGCCATGCATCGACGGTATGCACCATGTTAGGTTTTAATATCATATTTTGGACCTTGCTCATAGAGGCCCAATTAAATGACTCCCCAATCCATTAGTGAATGACTAATAATATTATCCTCTAGCTGTTTTAAACCATACAACTAGTTACAAAGATGCATTTTGCGAACCATCTTTTCTCCAAACAATTTATAGTGTATGCTTCCTGTATAAGGGACCATGATGCACTAAAAAGTTACTTATAGAAAAGGAAGTTACTAAGCTCCAACAATTCACAAAAGTACACATAAATCAAACGGATAAATTAAATTCCTTTAAAAGTTATTGAGCATATTAAGATTCACGTCTTGCAATCTTGACTATTTCTTTTGTAAGCTTATCAAAAACATAAACTGAATTCTAATGATTGAAAGAAAATGGATCACATAATTATTCATCTCTGAGTAAAATAATTCCCGAGTTGCTGACAAATGACAATTACCAACTAGCAATTGCCTGTGTATGAGGTAACTTGTAAGTTCAGGAAAGAAACAAATTATATATTGCTACAAAGAAACAGGCACAATCCATGTAACTTGCATACCTCAGCCATAGACATAGATTCTCCATTAGGGGTCCTCTTGATTGTACTCGAAATAGTACCAGCAGACATTGCACCTTCAAGATCTGGGTATGATGCTGCTGAAAACCGCCAAAAAGGAGCAGATTCCCCCATTTTTTCCCTTCTCAAGGCAATCTATGTTCAAATCAATCATGTGACGGTGATTACTTGAGACACAAATTTAAGAAGCAAATCTAGAAAAAAATATGCAACTCAAAAATTATAATGATTTCCTTCCAAGATACCTTCCCAGTACGAGCAATTTCTCTAATTCCAAATTTACTTAAGTTCCTCTGAACAGCCACCATCTTCCCTGGATCTCCAGTTACCTGTTTAAATGATAAGCATCAGAAAGACTGGATCGACTTTGGGTCAAATATACTTTAACTGTTCAACCATGTCATGCAGGAAAGTTGAATGCTACTCGCAACAACTAAAAGCATGAGAAAACCATAATTTGTCAGTTCTGAAGCGTGTTTAGCAAAATACAACCTCAACGCTTATTGAGACGACAAATAGGATATCTTGGTAAAACTGCAGGTATTGCTGCAGTTTACTCAGCCATGAGTAAACACCATTGACATACATTGATAAACTAAAGAAATTCATTTGGGCAAAGGCAAAGGAGGATTGCACGTTTGGTAGATTAGGTCATGATTTTTCTTTTTCCCTAATTCTGTCTTCAGGTAACTAGAAAACTTAGTTTCATCTTTCGCTTGTTTGGTACAATAATACTATCTTGAGAAATAAAATATACGACACATTGTTTTTCATTACTATCTTGGGATATAAGATGTGCAAAAACATTGTTTTCCACGATTTGCGTTGATATTAGCCCTCTGTGCATGTCCTGATTTTCACCTCTTTTTGCAGCAGAGTTGAAAGTCTCCACACTCGTAGAAATTTGCGGTGCTTAGAGAAGCACTACTACCAACTTCATCAATGGAAATACATGATTGACCACATGACCACTGCTGGAATTATGGCACAAGATGTTGGAAAAGCATAAGAGAATCAAAGGACCCCACTGCGATTTCTCCTATATGCCAAAGCCTCGATGGCAGAATTAACCAGTACATGTATTGCGGATCCAGGTACCAGGTGGAATGGTCGAAGTGCAAACTAGCGTGGCGCAGATAACACTACAACAACAGCATACCCAGTATGATCCCACAAGTGGGGTCTGGGAAGGGTGGGGTGTAGTTCGATCTTACCCCTACACAAGGTAGAGAGACGGTTTCCTATAGACCTTCGGCTCAAAAAAAGCTGGCCCAGATATTACTGTTACTGGAAAAAGAAACCATTAGTAGATATGACAGGAGACTGACATACGATCTAATAGTCAATGTGAGATGCTTTTTGCTTCATAAGAATGAAACTTACCGCTATCAAATGAAAATCAGTTTCACAAAAATTTCCTTGATCATCAGAAACCATTTGGAAAAAAAAGAAGGAAAAAGTCACAGCTCCGAGATATGACCTATTTGTCGAGAATAGAACAGAAAATAATCTTATCTTAGATGGAGTACAAGATTTTATCTGATCTTATCCCCCTGTTTGTTTTCCTGAACGGTGATTTTATCTAGTTTTATCTTTTAGTTAGAGATCAAATTTTATCTACTAGTTTGAGGTAGTCTTTTTCTTTAGTTACAAATACAGCTTTATCTATTCTAGGAGTTCTGACTATTTACCATTCCTACTCTATATATAAGACCCTTACATACTTTGTTGGGAATAGACTTGAATAATACTGATGAATTGATATTGGTAAAATATCGCTCGCTATTCTCTCTTATTCTTATTCTGTCTCTTCTTTTTGTCTCTCTCACTCTTTTCTCTCTATTTATTTTTTCTTTTTTCTCTAACTGTATTCTCTCGTTGTTCCTATTTTCCTAATCTTCTCCCTTCTCTCATCTAGCCCGCATTACAAAATCTTTAACATTATAGTTGTATAATTACCAAATACCAGTGTTTGTATCTATGCAACAAAAAACATGTCAGACATTTGGTATGTTCACAAGCATCGAGTTCAAGAAAAAAAAAAGATGGATTCTGATCTATGTCATCAAACCTCACCTCAATAGTCAGAGAATGATCAGATATATCCACAATTTTTGCCCTGAAAACGTCCACCAACCACATAACCTAGTAATGATCAAAAGATTTGGACCCATCATAACATAATAGTAAAATGGTAATACGGACAATGTAACTCCAATACTCCAATAAGAACCTCTGTGCGGTATTTTGGATCGGCGCTGATTTTAATAAGCATTAATTCACGTTCAACTTGTGGCTCCTTGGATAGATCTTCAACCTGACCATCAACTTTTACAGATTAAATCAAAAGTATCAAACACAAAAAGAAAAGTCAAAAAGGAGCGGAAGGAAGAAAACCATAACTGCGTGACCAGCTAAAGCTTGACATTATAAAGGCTCTTTGAGTAATAATTTAAGCTCTTTTATCAAATTCACTTAAACCCATCTGATTGAATCATGAATTAGTTAAAAGTACTAAAGACCGTATTTATAACCATAGCTGAGATCATTTGCATGGTTTTGAGCATTAAACATATTTCAGCTTTTGAACATCATTTTCAGAAAAAGGAGCAATGGCATGTCCATTCAATTGACACAAATCTATAGACCAGAAAAAAGGTTATTCGAACATTAATGACATCACTTTAATTTACACGCCACACAAACTAGTAATTTATCTAATACTCATTACCAAAAAGGTAGGTTTTGCTAAATCAAAAATTGGTAACACACCATACTAACACCTCAATCAAAACATACAAGGAAGATGTTAATTTGGTTGCAAACTAACTGTATGGAAACTACACATCCAAGAGATTAATTCACCAAACAAGCAGCTATAAATGCATATTCAATTTATTACCCACAGATTTTTTAATTCTCATGTTACAACCGAAGCACATAATATTTTTTCATGCATCAAACAACCACTAAATGGTTGACACTACTATTTCTAACAGCTTATAGATTAAAATACCATATGCAAACCAAAGTAATCACCTTGATCACATTTACAAGCTTTTGCAACTGTTCCATAACTTGCTGTAACACCCTTTCAGTTCCAGAAACAACTATAGTAAAAAGAGCCTTGTCCTTGTTTAGACCAACAGCAAGAGACTCAATGTTGTACCCTCTTCGAGCAAAGACTCCCGCAATACGATTGATCATTCCACTTTCATCACCAACAAACACTTGAATCGTATGGCGCCTACTCCTGTAATCACATCTCACATGCATTTACACCAGCATAACTTCTTAATACTTGCACTCACTTTCAGCTTTTGAAAGACTTATTTTCCCTCCAGTCCATTTTGTGCGATACCATTTGACTGGAGTCTAAGACATGATTTAGACTTAGGTTGTATAAGTAATAGCAAAAGAAAATATTAGACAAATGACAAAAAAGAAAAAAATATTAACATTGAAATCATTGTATGGAGGTTAAATTTGATTAAATTATTATTACTTGTGAAAACAGTAGTTTAAATATCTAACATCTTAAAACAATTTTCAAAAAGATTATCATATCAGTTGAAAATAGAAAAATTTAACCACGATTTTCTGTTTGTAGTTTCCAATCGTTATAACAGTTTTTCTGCTCAGACATTGACAAATGCAAGCTAAAGAAAAACTTACTTTTGTCTGATGGAAGAGTCGAAAGTTGTGAGAGAGTCGTCTTCATTTGCATATGTTCCATCAGCTTTGGCGGCAGAAATTACAACTGTTTTGGGGTTTGAAAGGAGAAATTTTGGTTTCAAAGTTGGAAATTGAACAACTTGAGAGAAACCCAAATGGGGAATAGAGGAATAGAGAGAAAGGAAGGGTTTATTTAGAGAGCTGTTGAAGGGAGTTGAAACAGCCGCCATTAGCAACAGAGTTTCGTTGATTCTAATATAGAGAGGTTAGAGGATGAATCGTTTTCGTTGATTCTAATTTGGTGAAAATGAAAAGATAATTCCAATTTATTTAACTTCCCTTTGTTTAATAGGTAGGGTCACAGTCAACTATACTGTAAATTTTGATTAATATTTAATGTTTTTTACGGGTTTTTTTTTTTTTTTTATGTTTTTTTGTTTGTTGGGAAATAGCAATTTTGATCCTCGAGATATTGCTTTATTCAGAATTTAGTCCCTAGGTTATCCAACTGAATACATTCGTCCTTCAGTTGATTCAAGTGTGTGATTTTGATCCTTGAAACTATTTAAAGTTTAACAGAATCATAATTTATATTTATATCTATACCTATATATTAGAATATATGTTTATTGTAAAAACACGAATGTCAAAACACAAAATGTTGAGTAACAAAAATATTTCAAGAACTTTTAGCAAATTTTTATGCCCTTTGAGTTCTAAATTATCCATGCCACTAGGTCGTGATGACACCTAATTCAATCCTTTAGGCAAACCAACCAACATAAAACACAACCCAAACGGAAGATCATCAAGTAAAATGCAAAATTTTAATATAAACTACCCCAAGAACTGGTGTCACAAGTCATGAACAACTAAGAATAGGAATACAATACTGATATGAAGAAAATACATCATCTGTTTGAATATACATAAATAGAAATACAGGATTTTAGGCTACTATGGATGAATGACAACTAATAACTGAAATGCTTATATATCTTCAATGCTCACTTTTGAATTCCATAACAACTTAGCTCCAAAATCTGCTCACAAGGCGCAAAAATGTAGTATGAGTTTAACTGACGCCATGTACTCCATGAATATCAAGGCTAACCTCAAGAAAGTAGTGGCTATATTTTTGTCAAAAGATACTCATTTTATACAATTTGTACAGTTCATAAGCATATACAATAACATAAAAATAACCAAGAAATGACAGATATCAATAATAAGGTACACAGTCAAAGAAAAAGATAATAAACATAGTTTTTAGATAACAAGATCAAAGCATAAAGAAATGCACCAGCTCCGCATGTAAAGAAGATAAGCAACAAGTAGCATTGATTTAAATGCTTCTACAAGAGTCTAGGATGTTTATGCATGATAAAGACTTAATATTTACATTAACCGGTACCTCTAAGTGTCCAACATCTTGCTAATAAGTCTCGTGCATGTGTATAATGTACAAATATGCATATGTAGATGATATACATGAATATTTCTACATGATTCTAGAATGTACATGCATGATAAAGACTCAAGCTTTACAACAAGCAACACCTCTCTGGTGTCTAATAATACTGTGCATTTACGCCCTAACGTAAAATGGGTAATCACGTGACTCTGAAGAGATGAATCAAAATTTCATACGCCCGAGCATTATAGCTCCAAAATCAATCATCAAGTCGTGCAAAATAAATCATCGTGCCATAATCATAACAACCGTACAGAATATCCCATCGTGCCAACATCAGTCTATATTAAAGAACCATATGAAGTGATGTGTGTGTGTGTCTATATATATACACACACACACACATACATTAAGAGATAAGTATATGTGATGCATATGGATAGAGAGATAAAGATGCAGAGATGTATGCATATATATGATGTATGACTATGTCCACAATATGTAATCCAACATACAAGTTGCCATCACGTCAAAATACGATATCAAAGCCTAGATATGGTCTTTAGCATGATGTAAAAATGCTTATGTAGTCATACAGATAAGTAAAGCATATCACAAATAGAACATGTACCAATTAAGACATAAAGAAGCCTAAAATTTATCCCAATATACAACCTTGGTATTCGCATATACGTTTCTCACCTCGTATATATATTATCCCCAAGCACGTAGCATGTAGCACATAAGTCTATTCTTTGAAAAAATTCCCTGAAGTCAAGATTAAGAAAGATACTTATCTTTACCCTGGGCTAGCTCTGTTTTCTAAAATATGTATGTTCTAGATGCAAATCCATCAAATGAGCCCGATCTAGCCCAAATAATGTCAAGAAAATCAAATAAAGCTATAAAAATCAATTTCAAATGATAAAGCTTCGTTATTTAATAAAATCTTAACAGTCAACAAAAAGTCAACCCCGAACCCTTATAGTCAAAACCAGTAACGAGAGACAAATCCCGATGACTTATAACATTCATGTTCAAATATGTGATTAGTTTTTAAATCTGAATCCAATCAGTATTCAAAATTCCAAAATACACTTTCTTATATTTTGGACAGAAACTCCAAATGCTCTTATTTAAATCTATATTTTGATGTTGATCTAGTAATAGATTAATATATAAACTATAGATCCAAGTTTGGATTACATAACCTAATGAAGTAGATGACAATTCTCTCAAAAGTCACTTCAATCCGAGCTCCCTAGCTCCCAAAATGATAAAATAGACTGAATGAAGACGATATTCGGTAGAGATTTCGTAGCTCCAAAGTTATAAGTGTGGTGCACCACACATGGACGCCCTTCGAACATTCCTTAGATTATGCTAGGAACTAACTCATGGGGAAATGGCAAATTTTGTGGAATGTGTTTTCAAATAATTAATGAGCAACTCAAATGATTTACGAATTTTATTAGTCTAGCAGAGCTGAAAAGAGGATCCTTAACTTGCTTATGAGTTTGATGTCTCTCATTAACGATTTGCTACAGTTTGCTGCTTAGAGATGGTTCCACGTTGGGATGCTTGATCTGCAAAGGTAGAAACATAAATAAGCATGTCGAATGCAGTTGTTAAGGCAATGATATAACAAATAAAGCAGAGATAGAGAAAGGAAAGTCTATGAGCGACGTCTGGCTGGTTGGCATGACCTTCACTGAAATTAACAGTCTCCGAGGTAAAAAGGTTTTTGGAATTAGTGGGCCTCCGGACTGCGAAGGGCTTGTGTTAGTTGACCTCCGGGCTGCAAAGAGATGTGAAGTTAGTGAGCCTTCGGGCTGTGAAGGGCTTTGAGGTTAGTGGGCCTTTGGGCTACGAAGAGCTTTAAAGTTAATGGGCCTGTGAGCTGCGAAGGGATTTGAAGTTAGTGTGTCTCCGGGCGCTTTGAAGTCAGTGGGCCTTCGGGTTGCAGAGGGCTTGATGTTAGTATAAAGGTACATGTACAGTGTGAAGTAAATAAATTGCATCGAGTTTGTAAATAAGGTAAAGAAAGCGTGGAAGGGAAACTCCTGGTTGTTAGCGAGATTCCTATTTGAATATGGTGATAGAGTGAGCAACACAACAAAATTGCATTTTTAGTTGGCGGAGTTAGAGGCAAAAATGATGATCCGAATTGAGTTCTCCAATTGGTGGAGTATTCAGTGTGATTGTTCAATAGACTCCGGTTGATGGAGCAGGCGATGCAAATTGTATAATGGACTCCAATTAGCGGAGTAGACAGTGCGATTGTACAATAGACTCCGATTGGTAGAGCAGATGGTGTAACTATACAATGAACTCTGATTGGCAGAATAGATAGTGCAACTATATAATAGACTCCGACTGGCAGAGCAAAAACGTACTGTACAACGGACTCCGATTGGCAGAGCAGACAGTGTATTGTACAATGGACTCCGATTGGTAGAGTTGCTGAAGAAGAGCAAAATTGTTTGACTTCATACTGAAAGGGTCACCCCCTTTTATGTTCGACTATCGGTTCTGACCCCTAGAAGTACCTGCACAGTTAGAGTAAACTTTTGGAGAAATGCGGTTAACATAAATACGATAAAGTAGAAATAGAATAGAAGGAGGTCAAAAGCTTGTGAGATTGCGGCTGCTTCGGTGGCATCTTGCTGGATCGATTTTGCGCTATCTATTTGGCTTTTTCCATCCCTGTATTTCAAAGAAAAATTCTTAGCTTGGGAGGGGATGTTGAATTTAATTGATTTCATATCCTATCCTCGTCATTTGTATCCTCTCTGCTCCTGATTGCTATAGTAATCCCTGCTGAAGACTCGATTGGTGAAAAAATAAAAGATATGTTTTGAAAGAAAGTTTTGAAATTTTCAGATATATTCTATATACTACGTGCTTATATGGTAAAGTCCTTGCTTTCAGATCATGACATATTCAGAAACCCATTGAACTTTTCTATTTCGATGACTGCATGCGAACAGTGGTTACTTTGTAGTATATATTGCTAACAAAGACTTCTTCAAAACTGCCCTAGACGACGTAGTAATTATAATGAGATCACTTCCTAATTTTAGAAAGTACAAATGAAATGGCAAGGTTTCCCTTGGATAGGTGATCGAACCTTTTAGGTTGCATAATTATTCCAATAGGAATCATGTCTGAATGTAGTTCGACGGTACAAAGAAAAGAAAATAAACAAAATTGATATGACCAAGCCTGACTCAGGCTACTACGTATCCAAATAAAACCAAGTCAAAACGTGGTTCATTAGAAAGAAAGGGAGAAAATGTAAAAAGTAACATGATATGACCGAGTCTGACTCAAACTACCTACGTATCCTACCAAGGGAAGTCAGGTCAAAGAATAGTTCTTTACATTGAGAATGCAACAAAAAAATGTCTAACCTAGATATATTTAAATGTAGAATCTCTTGACCGCGTCTGAATTGATGGGCTTTTTACTCACTCTGCCATCCATTTCTGCGAGAATTAATGCTCCTTCCGCAAGTACCCAATGAACCACATATGGACCTTGCCATTTTGGCGCCAATTTTCTTTTAAATTCGTCACGGTGAAGAAATATTCTTTTGAGTACCAACTGCCTAGTGTAAATTGATTCGGTATCACTTTCTTGTTTAACACTTTGATCATTATATTATGATAAAGAGCATGACAGACTGCATCCATCATCTTTTTGATGAGCATCACTATTCATGTCTATTACGTGTCCATTCTGCATCATCTAGATGGACCTCTTGAAAAATACTCAAGGAAAGTATCTCGACCTCTTCAGATGCAACGACCCGATCAATAATTTTGTGTAAGTTAGCCCCATTACCCTATTTGATGTTCTCCGTGTTTGATGATTTGTGGG